AATATCTTTAAAAAAGGAAATAAAATGAGTTCAATCAATGAGGATGTCAATCCTAGGAGAATGGGAGGCGCCTCTAAGGAAGAGGTTTTTCGAGCAAATGTCACATACCAGAGACCTCACCATCGTTATCGTCGAGGTGGTGGAGCAGCTACAAGGCTAATCTCTGAAGTAGCCCAGAAGGGTGCAAATATGAGGGACATTGCAATTTAAAGTGCAGCTATGCATGAATTTCTCATGCAGGTCCAAAGTCAATTGGGCTTTCAAATGTCCAAAAGACCTCCCACAGCTCAAAGACAGCCTCATGTAGCACATAGCCAAGGCTACTCAAGTCATCGAAGAGAGCCCCATGTTGAAAGGGAAGTAGGAGTAGATGTCTCTTTGTATGCTGTAGGTCCGCAAGCAGCGATCCCCAGTTTGATGAGAACTTTTCGCCAGAATATAAACCTCAGAGGTCGGTTAGTGTTTTTTATCGTATAGGGCCAAATCCAAGAAATAGAGTTCGTTCCATCCAGCGGTCGACCTAGGAGGAACAAGGGCTAAATCAAGAGGCACAGCCACCTTCGCCTAGAAATAGGGAGAAATTTAGTGGATTGGGGGAGCAATGGGGAAAGCATCTCAACTTTCATCCCAGAACAAGCCAGAGGAGAATAACTCTAAGGGACTGTATCAATCATATGAGATAGACAATGACGACAATAACCTACCATTCTCAAAAGAGATATGAAGTTTCCCAATGCGTGCCAACTTTGTACCCCATAAGATTTCGAAATACGAAGGGAAACATGACAAAAAAAAAAAAACTCATCAACAAGCATATGACACAGATGAGCCTAAGAGAAACCTCACCAGCCTTATAGAGCAAGGCCTTCCACCTAACCTTAATCGGAATGGCTGAGGTTTGGTATAGTCGATTACCACTACTGAGCATTAGAAGTTGGCCCGACCTGAAGAAAGCCTTCTTAAATCAATATCTGTCGCAAAGAAAAGGCGACGCCCCTCTATAACACTTGCAATATATGAGATAATGAATGTGTCAAGTCTATCAGGTTAGGTTGTAGGGTTGCTAACCCACTATTAATGTTTTAAATACATACTAGGCTAGTGATATGATGCTTTGACCTGGGAGATGAAGTCACTTACTTCTTTATCCAATGATCACAACTTCGGCCAAAACTCGATAAATGCCACTCTTTACACTTAAAGCTATTCTTTGTCTTCTCTCTTGTTTACTTCACTCTTATTTGCTTGAGTATAGATTATCATGCTTTAGTTGAGATGTTCGTGATTAATTATTAATATGAAATCATCTTTAAATATAACATCGGTATTTGAACATTTTTTGTTTTGCATCATAGAGCATCGCCCACATCCATATACAATAACATCATTCGGCCAAGTCTCTAGTCAAAATGTGTTGGAATTTGCTTTTATGAATACGAGTGGACCCAACATCTATTATTCATGCCAGCCTTACAAAAAAAGGAGGTCAACAGATACTAATTGGCACAGCAACTTCAATTGAAGTACATGATTCATTCTTTAGATTAAGATAAAAAAAAAAATCAAATATATTCATTAATTATAATTAAACGGTATAAAGAAGCTAATATAAGAAATTGAATAGAAACAAAAGATATGATAATATCTTCTATAGCTTTCTCTGAATCATGTCATGTTTTTACCTTATCCAAATATTAATGAATCAATATAAGTCTCTTGTTACTATGCAACTAATTCTTAGTGCAAATCATTGCTTCAACTATTTTTGTACTCAATGAACTCTAGCTTGAGCTTCCCGTATAAGTCTAGCTTTAAAAATTGGGGTTTTGCTTCACTACTAGGTGGGGGTTTACAGAACCCCCCACATGCTACACATATACATTAAGAAGGTGGGTATTTGTGGGGTATTTTTTTAATAAGGTGGGACTCACATCATGTGTGAAGCCCTATACAGCCCCATGCCTGTACACCAAGCTTAATTCTAAAAATTGAGGCAATGGGTTTGAATCCCAAACCAGATAGTGAAGAATTTAAGCTTTCAGGTTGAGTAGCATCGTTAAATTTAATTGGAATGGGTATAATGTGAATGTCTCTCTTGATTGGGATGCGTTTAATTTTTATCGAATTGAGTAAAATTTAAAATGTTTTATTAACAAATTTATTTTTGTAAGCGATTTGCCGGTTAGAAACGGTATGTAAAAATTGAAAACTAAATCAAACCACTTCAAGCAATTTGGTTCTATTCAAATTTAAAACGTTGACGAATTCACATGGATTCAAACGAACGAATTTGAAAAAGATGTGTGGAGTTATGTTTCTCAAACCACACTTTCATAAGTAAAAATGCAATTTGTCCCACTTGTACTTCTATGGACAGTTGGCTATTGGGTATTGGCTAATAGATGGTCACTCGAGTTGTGCTTTCTCTTGGCAATTGTGGACTGTTGTTCTAATCCTAAGGCTGAGATTTAGTCTTCCATTATTAATGCCTTCGGAGACTTTTGAGGCTAGGGTAATCCATCAGTCGGTCATTTTTTGGGCAGAATAGTCTCGAGTTTATCTCTCTTGATCTATTGTCTCTATTCTTCTCTTCTTCTTAGATATTGAGATCTTTGATGGTTTTGTATTAATCTTTGTTGTTATCTGATGATGGTAAAACGTTTGTACAGTGTTTTAGGCCATGATTGTGGCTGGTAAACCTGTATTGTATTCTTCGCAAGGTTCTGTCTAGTTTTGTGGGTTCGGGTTCGAGTTATATTGTGAGATCCTTGTGGATCGATGACCATATAGTGGGTCTGATTTAGTTTTCTTAATTGTGTGTACACTCTCTTGAAAGTTTCTTGTTAGTGACGAGCTTACCTCTGAGTCCCCCAAATTAGGCCGCGTTTGGCTAAACTGGGTGAACAATCTGCGTGTTCTATTTTCTATTCTTGCTTTGTTTTACTATTTTACGATAATTTGTGGGTTTTTGGATCGATAATCCTTACAAAATGTTTCGATTAAATGTGACGATTTCATTGTTTAGACCTAATACGAAGTCTACATGCCGGGCCATTTTCGTTACGGGACAGAACTAAATCCCCAGACACATGGAACTCAAGGACATATTAGTGATACATTTTGACCTTGATAACCATCACTTAGGAAATCCATAGTTGTGAAGTTCCTAGTTTTAATTTTCACTAAAAAGAAAATGGAATTGATATTTAGAGTGAGCTGATAGACTTTTGGTGATTATGCACGTGAATGGTTAAAATAGCAGCGGGACTTTCACAGCGAGCCAACTACACTAACTCAATGAGTAGCCGGATTTTAAATAAGTTTCTTTCAATTATTTACCAAGTTACCAACGCTAAATATGAAAACTTCTGTGAACCTGTGCCCTGTCAAATAATATTATTACCCATAATTTTCCGGAAAAAAAGTCAGTTAAATTGAGGAAAAATTGCAGCAGTGGTCCCTATCTTTTTCATTTTTTTTGCAAATTTTACCCTAACCTTCATTTTACGCCAACGGCGGTTCCTAACATCTCATAAATATGCACTTGAGGTTCATTTGGACGAAAACTGTTTAAAACACCGTCAGTTGATCGAAAAAATTGAGGAATCAACATCCAATAAAATTGTTCAAAAAAGTATCAACTCCATTAAAATCGACCCGATAGCAGATAGTTCAACGAATTTTTCTTGGTCAATTGACGGTGTTTTGGACTATTTCTGTCCAGATGAATCTCAATTGCATATTTATGAAAGGTTAGGAACTTTCGCTAGCACAAAATGAATGGTAGGATAAAATCTGTAAAAAAAAAAAAAAAAAAAGATTATGGACCACTGTTGCAATTTTCCCTTAATTTTATGACACATAATTAATTCCTGAACCCACTTATTTTTGAATGATTTTTTAAGCCTATGAAGATAATAAGCATTTAGCCATTATCTTAATGGAAATCGAGTACAATTGCATTCTAATTATTATGACAAAAAAAAATAATAATAATAATAATAAATAAATAACTAAAATACAATAAAATTACGAAAGTTTTTGTTAATGGGGCCCATCTTGATAGGCATGAAAATGGGGACTGACTGTGGGGTCCCCAGTAATCCTTGAAGCAGTGAAAATTTTATGTGCCCCTCAATTTTCATATTAGACAATATTTAGAGGGCACATGCTGTGTGCACTCAATATTGCCATTTTCTCATGTCCCACCAATTCCGCAATCCACGCATAATTACCTGCCCCCACTTTTCCACTTTTGTGTTTTTTTTTTTTTTTTTTTTTTTTTCTTTTGCCTTCACTATTTCCCTTGGTCAATATACCCCAAACCCAACTAAAGGTGTGACACTATTTATTACATACACATATAATATTTTAGAATAATGTTATTTGCAATCACTCGCTGTTGCAATCGTCCTACGTGATATATATGTAATGGTTAGTAATTTAATATATGAGGTACGAACAAAATCATCACATTAATACATCAAATTATGAACCACCATATAGGATGCTACGTACGTGTGACAACTATCGCAGTGAGCCGCTATTAATAGCATTACTCGATATTTTAATATCCAGTATTCGACAAGATTAGACCAGTTACTTATCATAGATGTCATTAAGACTTTTAAATGCGATTAGGAAAAAAGACTTAATGAAAAAATTAGTTAATTATTAAAATTTTATGTGAATTTTATTTATTTATTTTTAAATGCTCAACATGAAAAAGTGTTTGGTGCCACTCCTGGTACAAGTCATTGTGATAGTGCTTAGACATAGGTGATGTACAAGTAATTGTGAAAGTGCTCAGACATACATCATATGGAGACACCCTAATAACAGATGGACACTTTTCTTGATTAGTGCATGGGACCCAATCTTCTCCAATACTTCTGTCCCCATTTGCACCAAATCAGTAGAAATTTTAGACATAACAAAACCCACCCCACGCTCACAAAGAAAGAGAGATATACACTCTCTATATCTATATAAAGGTAAAACCATAGCAAGTTCACTCCATCCCCGACTGTACAACCAGCAGCAGCATTCAATTCTCCATCCTTCAATTATGGCTTACTCAGCCAATAATTTTACCCTCTTCCTTCTCATTTCCCTCTTATCCACGTTTCATTCTCATGCAAGAGACAGCCAACTCTTTAACAAAGTTCCTAGCACCACCACCACCACCAATGTCCCATACAAAGAAGACCCTCTAAGCAGCCAAGAGCAGGAACCAAATTTTCTTCCACAAAATGAAAATGGCTATGGCCTTTATGGTCACGAGTCCGGCCAACTCCCGCCTTCCACCACCATCACCACCACCGCTACAATGATTCCATACAATACTAAATCAGAAAGACCCCTTAACAAGTATCTCCCTGAAAACTACAACCCTGTGGCCTATGTGACAGAATCACAAGACAAAAATAACGGCAAAGGTTTCACAGAAGAAAGTTACAGCACCAGAACTAACAACGACAACAACAACTACTATAATGGTGTCGATAGTTTCAATGAGCGGCCAGAGCCGAAAGGCACCAGGTTCAACGGTGGCGGAAGTTACTCCACCACTCTAAACAACCGTGAGAATTATTATAACAACGGCGGCAGACCTAACTTCGAACCTCAAGGATTGAGTGACACAAGATCAATGGAGAATGGGAAATACTTTTATGATGTCAACAGTGGAAAATATAGCAGCGACCACCCATATGAGAGCTTGAAAGGAGTTCGTACAAGGAATGAGTACAACAACAAGAATTATTATGGGAACAAAGAGAATTCATACGAGTATAATGACAAGTACTCCACGGAAGGACAGTATCGAGATGAGTTCCAAGATGAAGCGGATATGCCTTGAAATTTGAGAGAGCAAAACTGAAAATGAATTTCTCAATCATCAATGGTGGTTTTCAATGTGAAATTTATGGATAATAATTATTAATAGAGCAAAAGTATAAGTGCAGATTTTTATTTATGTGTTTTTTATATACTTCTGTTTCGAAAAATTGGAATATGAGCTTATGATTTTGTATCGTGTATTCGTGTGATATACAATTGAATAAATTATGTGTTAACCGGTGGTGTCGAAATATTTTTAAAAGAGTAAGTGAGCTTGTTGAAGTGTTGGAGCCTACAAAACAAGCACTAGAAAAGTTGACCTCTAGAGATGATCGATTTCAATCCGGTATAAGTTTGTATTTGGGAAATTAAACTAGTCTAACAACCAACCTTGAGTTATTTTTCTATGAACAATTCAAGTATGATAATCACTTTTCGAAAAATCTTTATCAAATAAGCATTTAGTTATGATAGAGAAATACATTGGTAGAGATTAAAATATAAAATTTAATATAAGTTAAAGTCAACAATTAAATTTAATCATGTATTTCATGAGATCTACAACTTTTCGATCATATATTTTATTAATTTTTATCAAAATTTACTAAAATCTGATTTGAATTTCCACCGCATTGAGGTTAATTAAATCGTATAATATATTCAAAAGTTGGTGTAAACGTACTATTTTACAAAAAACTCGTCAATTATTTAACAGCGAAGATCGATAGCTACTAGGACATATTAACATTTTCCATTAGATAACTTGATGTCCTTTATGTAGTGGAGCATTTATGACACTGAGAAGAACTCAACGGCCTAGATGTATCGTTGTGTTGCTCGATAAGAGATTGAACATCATAATCATGACTAGCACTAGTGTTTGGCAAAATATTCAAGGAGTGAGTATGTAATGGTTGAATATGAAAAACCAACATGTCACGCTAGTCAAAATGGAGGACAACTTGAGCTATTAAATAAATAATTTAAATGTAAACTACAAGGCAAAGAAGAAAATGTGCAACATACTTTAATTTGTCAAAGAATAAAATGTACACCGGTGGGGCTTATTATGATGAATAATTACTTTAATAAAGTTTGTTGACCTACCAAAAAATAAAAAAAAGTGGAAATAGTTTGATTACTATGGCAGGTTCTTCTATTTCGATTGCTACATGAAAGAATCAAATGATTTGAGGAAGGTTGTCTATCCAACTTTGATCCTTTGGTTTCTAGGACCATGGAAAAAACTTGTTGTTCAGGGCCCTGGACGTTCAGGGGTGCCAAAGAATAGGCACCCCCTATATAGGTGGGTGCCATTTGGCGCCTTGGACGAATAACATCTCTCCTAGGACCAATGATTCTTTTTGGTGCATAGAAATGCTAAAGGGATAGGGGAAATGGACAAGGTTTATGGATAGGGTCGAGGTGGCGCGACCTCAGCCCTTGATCTAAATTTTAAAAATGCAGATCAAGGGTCGAGGTCGCACCACCTTGCCTTGTCCCTAATCCCTGTCCCTTCCTCCCGTCTCTATAACAGATCCCTTTGGTGCATGTTTTCCTAAGGTTAAACTATTTAGTATTTACTTGTAAGTGAATTTCAAAATATACCAATAAAATGTTAATTAAAAATAAATAAGTTTTTTTAGGTTAACGGAGACTTGTTGGGATCAATACAATCATTAAACTGTGGGAATGTTTTAATTTCTTTTATTTTATTGTCGCAAGTAATAAATAAAGTAGTCGGTCACAGTAAAGGCAAATTAAAGAATATTTCTTTATCTTAACTATCAACAATTTTGCTGTCATTTTTCTTCTCTTCTTTCGAGGTGCAGAACCAAATCTACGAACTTCGTGTTCCTCAATTATAATTCATTTTGGTCCATAATAAATGACTTGTATATTTTTACTCTTAAATATTTAATTGCAATACTAAATTTTGCTTCTACGACATATCTGGAATATTTAATCATAGAATACTAAATAGGACGATGAATAAAATTAATATATAATTATTGGATTTAAGATTTTAAATGCATCATTAATTTTTGTCTATTTAAAGAGAAGTATACATTTGTCATTTTACAACCTTTAAATGAGAAAGTGGATGAAATTAATGATTTTCGCAATGAAATATGAAATAATGGTGAAAATGTTAAAAATGAAAGGTATGGACGTTTTGGGTAATAATATTGAAAGATATGGACGTTTTGTATTAATTATCATTTTAATAATTTATTTTGACTCATTTGCACTTTTTAAAAGTTGGGGAGTATGATTGCAGTTTATTCTTTAACTTTCTTTTTTTATGAGAAACTTAATAAAAATGATGATTTTCACAATAAAAATGTGAAAATAAGGGTGAAAATGACAAAAAACAAAAGTAAAGACGTTTTATGCTAATTATTATTTATTTTATTGGGCACTCAGACATTGTAGAAGATCAGAGTTTGGGTGATTGTTATTCTCAATGGAGTGGGCACTATTCAATGGCGAAGATGATTGGTGTACAATGATACCTCACATGGACGGGCTGGGTGTGTGAGTTTTTTGACATTATTTATTCATGCGGGATCTACACATTGTGAGATATTTGTTAATTTTTTGTTAGAAATTTTCTGTACACCAAACATTACTCATTGAATGGAGTGCCCAACTGTAGATGATTGATATAAATTGGAAAACCTGACAGCAGTAAACGATGTTGTTCGCAATTTTCTCGCGCAGATAACGGGAATGACAAATCTTTTCTACACCTTTAATTAGTAAATACGGTCAGACCAGACTTGAGCTTAAAGACTTTCATTTACTTGATTTTATTGTTTATTTTGAAGGAAGTATTTGGGAGACGCTAATTCGGCTACAACAATTTCTATTTGTGTATCCTTACAATTACAAGTATTTGAATATATCTAGCAATAGAAGAATAAAGTGGATCAACAAGTAGAAGTATAGTGTGTTTATAGTATAAAGAAAGTTTATAGTTTTTAAGATTAGGGCAAGATAAAATTCTTGAATCGAATTAGACCCGAACAGAATCGAATTGAATTGAACTAACGGCTTCTTCTTAAGTTAAATGCACAAATAAATATTAGAATTGAACCGATAGTTTCGGTTGAGTTTTCGATTCTAAATCAAGAATCGAAGAACCGAATCCCCTAATTTTTTTTATTAAACAAGTTAAATTATTTTAGTTTTTCCCGTTTCATTCGCCAACTAATTCATTGAGCTCAAAAATAAATTTTTCCGTTTCATTTACTAACTAATTAATTGAGCCCAAAATATTATTTTCTAGTCTTAAGCCCTTTTAATTCAAATTTCAAAAAATCAAAATTGAGTAACTTAAGTTTTTCTCAATCATTCTGTCGTTTCTCAAGTAATCAAAGATATTGAGTGTCTGTACCTCTCATCATCTTACCCTGTTTTGCCTTATTTATTGAATTTTCTCCACTTTGATCAAGGTAATTGTAAACATTGATGAATGGATCTTATTAAAAGACTTTTTATTTGTATATTTTTAAATTGAACTGCATTATTTTGCAAGTGCTAATATAGTGTTATTGTAAGAGCGAAAATTGAATATGTTATTAATTGGATTAATGTAGTATTGCTACGAATTTTAAATTTTTTTAATTATGGTATGAAATTGAATCGAACCATCGGGTTTGAAGATGATTCTTGTTGACCTAAACTCAATTGTCAAATTTTCTATCTAAATTTCAATAGGATTTTTCCTCTTTTTGGAGAATTTAGGTTTGTTTAGAAGTCAATTGCTTATAGAAAAGGAGTAAGATGGAGATTTCAACATTATTTTGATCGAAAAATGCTTCTCAATCTGAGACTGTGTTTAACTTTTAAGAGCTCCAACCTTGAATTTGCTTTTGATTAGAGAGTGAAAGCTTGTATATTCAATTTCAACGCTTTTTACATTATGTAATGACCTTTTATAGACGTTTTAGAGCATTTTGATCATTTTTATGTGTTTTACATTTCTCATCAATATGTTTAGAATTATAATTAGATCCAATTTCAAAGGCTTTGGTTGAGATTTCTGCTTTGCCACACGTCAAGCAATCCATTGTATGCATGAATTGATTTAGTTTACAAAAATTAATCTTGATTTGGTCAAAATTCAAACTAAAGGTCTCAGTCGATATCTGAGGCTACTTTGAGGCCTTTAATTCTTTTATTCTTCGATGCTTCTGATCATGTTCCTATTCGTGTTAGGTTCTGTATATTTCATTGTTATAATAGTGCTTCAGTGATCGCACTAACCCAAGCATTAATGCTCAAGGACTCGTAAGCATGCCACAAATCTTTCTATGGCTTGGCGCAAAGTCCAAATAAATAATAATTAATTTTAAGCACATAACAATTCTCGTATTCCAATTGTAAAGATGAGCAAACAAGAAAATTGAATAGATTAGGTCAATTTAATATACCTAGTACGTTATCATTTAAATTGTATTATAATATTGTTTAAAGTACGAATGTATAGTCAGAGGGTATGTATGTAGTTTGTCAAACTATCGCAATATTCACTTTTCTGTAATTATCAGTATACAATTTTGCTATATGTACACATTTCTTTACCTCCTGACTTACAAAATTTACACTTGCACAGTCTCATACCATTTTTCATATTTTACACATTTAATCCAACCATTATAAAATTATTACATTATCCATCTGTCAATCAAGTGGTGGTAAATGAAAATGTACAAATAGCTTTATCCTTTAGTATACGAAGAGTGGTACGTCCTTTAATGTAAAAATGCATCCATTTGCCCATTTCTAGACATAATACCCCCTCTCTAATTTTGCTCATCTTCCTCATCTCATTTCTCGGATCTGTGAAAAGTTAAAACCAAACCAAGAATCAAAGATTGTACAGTATCATAACGTTAAATATTAACTATTAAGAATGAGTTGTCATTCGTTTTGAATTTGGGGGTAAAACGCGTTTTCTAAAAATAAATTTCAAACATCCAAAGAAAAAAATTAGAAAGAGGATGTTAAAAGGGGACCTATCAAATTGTATACATATATTCCTGTCTTTACTGATTGATACGAAGGATCCTAGGTCCCGTACAGGTGAGGGGCCTGTCGGCTATATGAAAGCGTCAAATGGCGCCCCTGTCTATTGAGGGCCCATGTGACCCTGAACAAAAGGCTTTTCCCTTAATTATTTGTTCTTCTTCTTGTTTTTTTATGGAGATTTTTTATAGTTTAAGGGAATTTATTATAGGGAAAATTGCAGTCGAGGTACCAATCCTTTCGTTTATTATCAGATTTTGTCCAAACCTTTAGTTTATGTCACTCATGATACCAAACCTTTCAAAAATATGCACAGGGGGTTCAAATGGATGGAAACTGTCTGTTTGACCGTTAGTTGATCAAAAAAAATAAATTTTGACCTATTTTGACTGTATTAGAAAGGGTAAAATGGTATATTTAGAATTAATATTATTTTTCTTTATTATTAACAATTAAATTAAACTAAAAAAAGAAAAAAGAAAATAGTCAATCTTCATCTTCTTCCCTGACTGCACCCCCACCTCACCCCAACCATAATCTGAAGTCGTCGACTACCCAACCCCGGCTGCCCATCTCCGCCCAAATCCGTCGACCCCATCAATTCCACAACCTCCAACACCTCGACAATCCACGATCCATTCGGACCTCCTTCTTCCCCAAAATCAAAATCACTCCAGCCAACCGCCACAACTGCTGCTGGTAACCACCACTACACACCCAAAACCACCATCACTAGACGGCTCCACCTCACCCACCCAACATCGGCGCCATCCATCGGCAGTAAGTATGAGGACAGCACGAACTATCATCCACCATCCACTACCCACCTATCCACAGTTGATCACCACCGCCACCTCAATTCAAATCGTGCTTCAATTTCACCTGAATCCATATCCTTCGCCGGCCACCCCCATCACCATCCACATCATCGCCACAACCTCCAGCCCAATGCCTCCTCACAACTCGGCATCACCACCGCCTTAAAAACAATAGTTTCCTCAAGCATTCAGAGTGAAATTGAACCTTTAGCTCGCCCAAGCAATCCAACATTCACTCCACCATCACCATCAAACTGCCACAACCGCCATCATTTTCCTCAGCACCACCACTTCCATTCACTAAATTAACCATTTATACCACAACAATAGCAAATCATCAAAGTCAAATTTGATTTCAAAATCAATTTTGGTTGTTTCAGATCTGAAGTAAAGAAAATCGTCACTCTTTCGGTCTTCCATTATTGATGGCAGTGGTGGTGGTGATGACTTCTGGCTCGATAGCTGTGATGGTCAATAACCTGGGTGGAGGTGGTGGCAACTTTGTAGTGAGGAGGATTGTATGGGAATGGGAAAGGAAGGGTTGGGTTTGGGTGGTGATTGTTTTTATCTTTAGTGGTGGTGATGGCGTTCAGCAGCCTAGGTTGTGGCGGCGGCGATGACTTTGGGGCAAGGGGTATTTTGTGGTAATGGGAAAGAAAGGGTTAGGTTTGGGTGGTGGGTTGGTTTTAATCTTTTATTTTTTATTTTATTGTTAAATTATTAATATAATATTATATTTATACATACCCCTTTTACCCTTTGAAATTTATTCAACGGTTGGTCAAACCATTGGCTTATAGTCAACTAACGGAGAAATTAACAGAAACAATCCATTTGAACCCTCGGTACATATTTTTGAAAGGTTTGGTACCGTGAGTGGCACAAACTAAAAGTTTGAACAAAGTCTGCTAATAAATGAAAGGTTTGATACTGCTGTTGCAATTTTCCCTTTATTATAAGTGTCAAAAATCTTCGGGTACTCTTTCAACTTGGTCCATGGCATGGATAGTTTTGGAATGTGGGTCCTCCTCATTTCGATAGTGGTGGGCTCATTTTGTTTCAAACTCCCAATTCCTCATTTTTCACATTTACATTCATACTAATTGTTCGTGTGAAACCCACAAGCGTACGAGATTGTTGATAAATAATACGTGATGAGTAACGTGTATCGTCTCACGGGAAATAAAATTTAATAGAATATACTAGTTTTTAATTAGATTCAAAGTAAACAAAGCAAAAGTGATTTGTGATTTTTTTTTAATTATTCCAACTTAACCTACAAAAACTAGTAAAATGTGAATTTAGTATGTGTATACAATGGGATTATTAGATTATGAATGCACATATTATTATTTTTTCCAATTCTTAATTATGTAGTTAGTTTTGTTCTTACATTATTGACAATCAATAATTCAATTGTAATTAATTTTATTTTTCCAAGATAAATTAATTCTATTCTAGTCACGACCTAAATCTATTCCTAATCTGAATTCGATTGAATATAATGCATTTAAATTCACAATTATTTCTAAAATTTATTTTACATGTATTAATCAAGTAGTGTCCTAAATCTATTGTGAATATTTTAGCACTACAACAAGAAGCCATATATTTAATTGGTGATCAAGCAATTAAATAATAAAATTAAGTATGCAAGATTAAATTTTTTTTTTCAAGAATTTAACTAAATTGCTTATCTTGAATTAAAAATAAATAATAAATGGCTTCATCTTCATTCAATGCATGAAAAGAATTAGCCTAGCATAATATTGAAATCAAACACATAAAAATGGGAAGACATCCCCAGAAATCGACGGAACGTGATTAATTCCAAAATTTTCTAGACTTTCTGTGCATTTGTGTATTTTTCTCCAATAGCAGGTAGGCCCCTATTCTTCTTTCCAGCAGCCGCCACCTTTTCTATGGTTGTGTATATATATTTTCTCTTCAACTGTTTTTCTGTATAGGGTTTTTTCTTCTTCTCCCTAAAAGTAGCTGCCTTGTATTTATATGAATTGACAGAAGTGCTATGTGTACAGAAATTCACTATCATAATTTTCAGAGAATACACATGACAACATCTAGTTAAAGAATAGCAAAACAAAAGATTAACCAGATGTTGCCACATCAGCATCGATTAGAATTTTGGCACTTCTGCTTTGTGCAAGCAGAAAAATTAATAAGTTGAACCTTAGGGCCATTTTCTTTATGTGTATAAAAAAAATTCAGTCCCCATGTTTTCTTTGTATATAATAGGTGGCCCTTTGTTTTCTGCATGCATGTGTATGTGTGTGTGTGTCTATATATATATATATATATTAAAAAAACTTCCAGCGATGCAACCCTTTTTTCTTAAGGGAAAATTACATAATTTTAGATGTCAAAAGATTATTCAAAAAGCAAGGTTGAAGTTTCACTATTCATAAATCAGGTATCAATATAATAATTAAATATTAAATATTCCTCCAAATTATTCCAAACCCTAATAAGTTTTTTTCCTCACCATTTCTCTCTTTACCCTTTCTTCTCTCTCAGTCTCTCCATCACAATCGCCGTCGAAAATTCCTCGCCAGTAGGTGTTCACGACGTCACACTGTAGCGGCGACGCTATGAAGATTGGCACAAGTTCTGACGCGAGATCGGCACTGCTGCAAGAAGACTGGCGTCACTGTAAGAGCGCAACAGGGATGTTATTTTTCGCCCAGGAATGCCGCTACTGCGCGACTTTTGCCTGGGAACACTATCTGCAAGTGGTGCTGCTACACTTCTGCACGTCACCAAAACCACACAACTGCCTATTGGCAATTATCCCACACACTTCTGCTGCGCGACTTTTAGCAGAAACACCCAGCTCGGGATAACAGATAATATTATCACCTTTGGGTAGTTTTGGTGATGTTGTGGGGGTGACGGTGTGGTGATGGTTGTACGATGGATCTAGGTAGAACGGCTGTGGTGATGATGGTAGCGACGGTACTTATGTTGGCAGTGGTTATTATGGTTGTGGTGTGTTGGAGATGAAGGGCTGGTAGCAGTGTCGGTTGCGTGGTTGAATTGTTGGTCGTGTTGGTGCTAGCGGCAATGTTGCTACAATGATGGTAAGTTGGTGCTTGGTTTCAATGGTGCTGGTAGTGTTTGTGACCAATTATATACGTTGTTCGGTTGGTGCCGTTGTGGTGGCCATTTTGGTGGTGTGTGTTGGTTTGTTTTTGCCGGGAGGTGGTGGTTTTCATGGTGGTAGTGGTGGTGTTGGCGGTGGTTGTGATGGTGTTGTGGCCGGGGTAGTGTTTGTGACCAATTATTATGGTGGATCGGGATCGGATGTTTGGCATCTGTGACCAACTATTTGGTCCCTTGTGACTGTATTAATCTGTGACTTTAAGATTCGATCATTTTGTGACTAAAAAAAATAATCTGTGATTATCAAATTTAAAAATATGTGATCTGTGACCTATAATTTTTAAATTTGTGACCATTTGTAACATATAATTTTTTAATCTGTAACCTCGATATAATCTGTGACATATCAAAATTTTGATTTGTGATCTTAAAAATATCTGTGACCAATTAATTTGATGATATGTGACCAATAAATAAATCTGTGACCTATAATTATAAATATGTGACCATTGATCGTATAACTGTGACTTTATCATTATTATTTAATAAATGTTTTTAATTAATTAGTTTAAACCTGATTTTTGCATTAATGAAACTTGCAGCCTGAATTTTGAATTTTGCATAGTTAAAACCTGATTTGTGAACTCTTCCCTTTTCTTAATTCACCAAAAGTCCAAATCCCAAAAATTTGATTAAATATTAATCCAATAGCAAGCCCACCACGCAAAACCAAAATATTGAAGTGGAATTTACAGGTACTAATACATTTAGAGATCCCACTTCATAAATCATAAGTTAGGTTTACTATTTAAAAAATTAGATGTTTTGTTAATTAATTTGACTGAATATTAATCAAATAACAAGCCCAACACGTAAAGCCAAATTATTGTAGTGTAAATTACAGGAACTATAACATTTAGAGATTCCATTTCAAAAATAATAGATAAGGTTTACTATTCCAAAAATCAGATGTTTTGTTAATTAATTAATATATTTTAAGTATTAATAATTATATTACAAAATTATATATACATATTCATTCTATCCAACCACACATACCAAAACCCTAATTATTTTGATCATCTCCGTTCTTTCTTCTCTCTCCATCCCAACTTCTCTCATTTCTCTAGCCGCCTGTCGTTTCCACCACACTCGCTAGCTCCACCACACCATCGGCACCACTAACGCTAGTACCAACTCACAATCACCATGCTCGACCACCTCACCATATCCATAAAATCTCTAATACCGCTGCTACAACAACAGCCTCCACCTCTGTCGCCGTAGATCTTCCATTGGTTTATTTTACCCAATTCGACGACACCTCATCGCTACAGTTCTTCTTCATTTTCATCTAATTTTTGAGTGGTATGGTGATTGATTGTTCGGTGGTGGAGATATGCAATGCAGTGGTGGGAATGGAAATCTTTGGTGGGTTCGTCGGTGATGAGCTACTATGGTGCTGTGGGTGCGGTGGTTGGGGTGAGTGGTATGGTGATGTGTACGATGTTGGTGCTGTAGTGTGGTGGAGGTGTAGGTGCAAGTGTGCGATGTGGTACGGTGGTAGGAACAGAGAGCTTTGGAGAGTGCGATGGTGGTGTATTGACGGGTACATTTTGTGTTGGTGTGAGTACGGTGGTTAGGTGCGTACAGTACGTGGTGTAATACTATGTGTTGTGGTGCGGTGGTGTTGGCGGCATGGTAGTGGTTCTAGCGCGACAATTTGGTGATGTTTTATGAGATCAGCTTATTTGTTTGAGGTGGTTTTGCTGTAAGGAAGTGGTGGTGGTGGTGGTTTTGGTGATGACGGTAGTGGTGCAGCTACTACTGGAGGCAGTGGTGAAATGGTGGTTACAAGTGTTGGTAGTGGTCACAAATTATTTGGTTGACTGTAATCATTAAATTGATTAATTTGTGACCAATAAACAATATGTGACTAATGAAAAATAAATTGTGACCTAAAAAATTGTTAATTTGTAATCGATAATTTAATAATTTGTGATTGTATAATAAGTTGTGACTTATAATATTTGTGATTTGTGACCGACAAATAAATTGCGACTTATAAAATTTTTATTTATGATCGATAAACAAATTTTACTTATAAATTTTTTGAATTGTGATCGTAAAATAATTTGTGGTGTATAAAATTTTGATTTGTGACCTAAAAATAATATGTGACTAACTAAATCGTTAATTTTTTACCAAATTGTATAGATTTGTAACCTTTATAAATTTACGTAATAAAATATATAATTAAATAAATTAAAATAAATATTTGATCTTGAAATTTGAAACTTTTTTTCTTAGTTTTGAAATCGTGATACCTAACATCTTAGTTATGTATGTTTCCCATTATTGTATTAGGAATCAAAATTGCTTTTCCATTTAAAGTGCCCACAGCCATTTTCGTAAAAAAAAAAAAAAAATGATCGTAAAATAATTTGTGGTGTATAAAATTTTGATTTGTGACCTAAAAATAATATGTGACTAACTAAATCGTTAATTTTTTACCAAATTGTATAGATTTGTAACCTTTATAAATTTACGTAATAAAATATATAATTAAATAAATTAAAATAAATATTTGATCTTGAAATTTGAAACTTTTTTTCTTAGTTTTGAAATCGTGATACCTAACATCTTAGTTATGTATGTTTCCCATTATTGTATTAGGAATCAAAATTGCTTTTCCATTTAAAGTGCCCACAGAATTTTTCGTAAAAAAAAAAAAAAAAAAAAAAAACAAACAAACAAACAACCAACGCAGTCCACATAAGTTCCTTCCATTTTATCAATTGGTCCAAGGCCCAATAAAGGTGTTATTGCTCTCTAAAAATTTCACTTCTTCCAAATTGATGAAATTTAGTCCTTCAATTTCTATTGAATGGCCATTTTGCCCTAATTCACGTTCCAATTGCTTCAAAAGAGTCCTTAACTAAAAATAAAAGAAAATTAATCCAAGTTAGAGTCAAAATTAATAGTTTTGACGGCATAAAAGTTTAATAATATGGCCTAAATACGTGCACAAATTCACTTATCACTAATCGTCTATCGTGCAATACACGGGTTATGTCATTTTTAAGGTAATATTAGTATAACGAATGTGAAGAATTGACAAAGACGTGTGCGTAGAAGATTCATTGGATTAATAGGATTGTAGGAGGATCTAATTAGTTTTTATTTTGCTTTGATGGTCTCGTGTTAAATTTCAGTTAGAAGTTTTCCTAGTTCATGTTGGAATTTCGATATAAGTTCTTTTCATTTAGAATGATGGAAAGAGCGATCCTCATGAATATTTTTTGTGCTAGTTGAATCTATTTCTGAAGGACAAAATCCCCTAAAATATGAAGATCTATGAGGTTGAAGAAAAATAGTGTTACAGAGATAAATGCACCAAGTTTTCGAGCTACAATAGTTTTGAGCAGTTCTATCACTTTTCTAAATGTATAGAATGTATATAAAACACTTAGAAAGGTGATTAGATCCCATTGATAGCTAGAGATAAGTGGAAAATGGAAACAACATTTAGGTTGAATTCAACACATGAAATGATAAGTAGAGAATAACGCTGCTGTAAAAATTCAAGGACATAACAAAACCAAAAACATCAATTGACAAATCTATACCACAAGAAACCTTAAATTAAAGCAAAAGCGCAAGTTTGGGAGACTCGAGAAGTATAAAATGAACTTCTACCATTATTCACTGATTGATAAACATAAATTGTGATGTGTTCTGATTCAAATGACAAGAAGTGGATTTAGTAAAATTGTTTCTATACCAAATGGCTGTCACTAATTTTATAAAAATCCCCAGATATAGGAGGGGAAATTTCTAGCATTTTGTAACCAATTTTTGGGGTAATAAGAGATAGGTCTAAAAGAAAATGAATAGATTTACGAAAAAATAAAGTAAAGTAAAAAACAACCCATGTATATTCTAAGAATACAGTCAGAATCTACAATGAGTTCGAAGTTATATACATCACATATATGAAATATCTTTTCTATTTGTACAAATGTTCAATGGCTTGTGTATATGGAATCGAAAGGTTTAACCAAGATCCTCCTTTCCCTTCCCCCTCATCATGCCAAAATTCTCATCAAGCTATCCTTCATACCCTGAATCAGTGTGCACTGCTTTCGCAACTCAGTTCCATGTCTCATCAGCTCTCAACCAGATCCCATCAACATGGCCTATGTAAGTGCTCAACTGTCCATTCAAAGTCCCAAGCTCTATCCTGGTAGCCAAGGACTCTCTACTGGTAATGGATGTAAAATTCCTTACGGAAGACATATCATCCCGCATTACCTGGATATTAGTTTGCATGGCCCCAAAAGCCTGTTGAAGACTTGAATATTTCGGCTAGTACTAGTAAGAGTGGCTAACATTTGTAGCAACAACTGTGTATTGACGTCCATTGACGGTGGTGGTGCCTAGGGCATCTCAACATCCTCAGCCCCCTAACCTTGAACAGCCGACTGTTGACGTCAGTGTTTCCTCTCTTATCTCTCTCTATACTTCTCCTGAGCTCTATCCTCAAGCCTTCAAAGTAGTGCGCTTAATAAAAATGCTAGGCTCTTGAGAGTTCCCCATATGGGATAGTGATGCATGAGCTCTTGCAAATCCCATTGATTAGATTTGGAAATATCAGAGAGCGTTGACAGTCTTCCTAAACACCGTGGGAGAAAATATGCTCATAAATAAATGTTGCCAAATCAATTTTCTGACCCCTTCCTAAGTGATAGATAAATCTGACTTTAAGATCGAAAAATGTGGTTTGATGTGAGGTTGGTTCAATATTGTGGCAAATAAACAACTACAATATAGCTATAGATAGTGTGAGCTCAATCTGATGCCACTCGTCAGTCTGTAGTGGCCAAGCATTTTATCTCCCGAGTAATAACTCTCATACCTCATTCCATGAAAAATCACCGGGAATTGGAACAATATTATCCCGGGTGCGCTGATAGTATTCATGTATTACCTTAAGTGAAAATATAATCTACTTATCGCTCACCCATGTCTGATGTTGATGCTTTGATCTTGGTGTGTCGACTTTTCTATTAAATTTACATAGAATTCTCGAACCAGCCGAAGACATTGAGTGTGATCTCTCTACCACATAGCCCCATCCACAATTTTGAACTAGGTCACCAATTTAAGTCCTGGAAAATCATCGAGTTTTACTGGCCTTTTCGAGGGTTGTGCCCTATGGCTAACTATGTCTGAAAATCTTGCTGTGGCTTCTTGATTCAAGAACCACTTTATACTCCCTTCAGGTACCCGAGTATGCACAGTACCAGAAATGGAGGCAACTTTCTCTTTTCCTTTAGCAGTTTATTTAGGAGGCATCCTACAAAAGCAAAAAAAAAAAAAAAAAGAATTAGTTATCTATTATGCACAAACGAATGCTATGTCAATTGAAGGCAAGATTATAGCATGGACAATCAAATCCCCCAAACTTATTTCAAAATACATTTATGCAATGCTTGTGCTCAATGAAATAAAGTTAGGGACCAAGCGAGGCATAAAGTGAAGTAACGATGCCATGCTCGACGAAATGTGTAAAGATGTAGGGTTATTATCTCAAATAAATAAATAAATAAAAATTCATAGTGTGTCTCGCAAACCTTAACCTAGTTCAAACCATCAAATTTCTCAAATTGACCCATGATGAACAGATGGATTTCGCCCTCGGCATCATCGAGAAAAATCAAAATTTTATGTAGCGATCTCTAGCTATATGAAAGAGTTTATATTGTTCTTACAATATTCAAATTTGAGGTCAAATAGGCTTCGTCTGGCTTAGCAAATCGAGGGACGAAGCACGTGAGGTGACGTGTGCCTAGCCATGTCAAGCCTATATATGTCAATTTAGGTTTTGTCGTTTTTGTATCCTTTTCAATGAATTACAGCACTGCAAACGATCACAAATGTATTATCATCATGTCTAAGGCCAGATTAACTCGAACTAGACAAAAATTTCCGCTTAGACATTTAAGCAAACACTTTGAAGGCATGCCCTTTGTTTCCTAATTTAGCAAGAGATTATGTGTAAGTCGAACTACAATTTTCATACACAACCATAACTCAATACACTGTATTCAACTCACTCCCATTCTCCTTCAATCAATCAATCAAAAGCTATCCTCAAAATAACAAACTTCCAATTGTCCAAGGCAGAAAGATATGAAGACATACCTTCTGTTGGTTTTTTGATGGAGATGAATTCGGGAATAGTGTTGAATTGTTGAAGGGGAGTATGTATGTGAGTGCCATGTGTTGTGATGCACAAGGTGGAAAGTGATGTGTGTAAGAATGAAGTGCTGAGTGTGTTTATAGGGGTGGTATAAGGTTAAAAGACCAGGTTATGGGACTTTAACCTCCCCATGACTGATATATCTATGCAACCGCATAGTATTACACAATGCATCGTATAAAATTCCAAAAATGTTCAGCCATGTTTTTTAATATTCTCATGCGGTCGCACTGCTGGTAGTGCTATGCTGTTGCACAGCACTACCAGCAAGGACAATTTTTTCCGTTTTAAGAATTTTACACTTTCAACCATTCTAACTCCCGAGGCCTCGATTTTCATGCAAGATAAGTTCAAATGAATACAATAAGTGTATGCAATATGGAAAAATTGTAAAGCTCACTCAAATCTTTGAAAACTCATTTTGGCCAATTTTCCATAAATCATTGATTTTACATCCACGACTCAACCCAGCTTTCCACCGTCCCAAAACTTGTCAACACACATTTTAAACTGCATGGGGTACGTATATACCGTGAAATCAGTTTCAAAACTACTTTTAACTTGAAAACACTAGTTGATCCAAGAAGCTTGGAAAACATCCTTTTGCCTCGAAATGCATGATTT